ATTTGGAATTTATCCCATCCTTTCTAAACCCATCCTTCATCCCTGATTTTCCACTCTTCTTCATAATATCAAAACCCAAAAAGAACTCCTTCACATTCCCATATTTTCATCCAGCCCATTTCCCCTTCATTATTCCACAATTCCATCTCCAAAAATAACAACTTGATAAGACCCCCGGTTCACCCCTAACATTTGGTATCAAAGCCCATTGTTCCACATCCCCAAGGGCCAAAAACACTTCCCTCAACCTTCCTCTTCCCCTCAACAATTTCGTCCCAAACCTACTGCAAAAAAAAAACAGACCAAGAAAACCCACTTTTCTTCCTTCATTCCCTACTGCCGAGAACCAGCCCCAAAAAAAAGCCATTCCTCCCTCACCTTTTGCTTTGGTTTGAGAAGCCAAAGACTGCCCAAAAACCCAAAGGCCCACCCACCTTATCACCTAAAAAACGCCCCTGGCTGAACCATCCAAAAACCAAGCCAAAACATACTCCAAAAACCTTCCAACTCACTGCCCAGGAAACAACCCCAACATAATCTATCTTTGTTCACCTTAGGCCCCCAAAAACCAACCCCAATTCGGCCAACCTATACCCCAAAATACCCTGCACTTCTTCTTCCTCAAAACCATGTCAAACCACTCCCAAAACATGTCCCATAGAGATTTAGTTGCTGAACAGAATAAACTCAAGAAGGAGCTTGATGCTTTGATGAAAAAGATTGGAGAGTTAACAAATTCAGTGGACATTCCGACCTTTGAAGGAAGAAACGATCCGGAGAAGTTCCTACAGTGGCTCAAGAAGGTTGAACATATCCTAATCCTCAAGAATATGCCCGAAGGCAAAATGGTCAAGCTTGTAGCATCCCGGCTCCAACGAAACGCTTCCACTTGGTGGACACATATTTCCATTAAGAGAAAGTTCGAAGGAAAACCCAAAGTACAAACTTGGGAGAAGATGAGGAAGCTGTTGATCAAGAGATTTTTGCCAAGAGATTACCATCACATGGTTCCCCCAAAAGCCGTTAAAACTCATGTCCCAACCGTACTTTCGTCTCCACAAAAACCGCCCCATGAAGCCCCTCCAAAAACACCCAGAGCAAGCACCCTACACACGGCCACAACCATCCCCATTCCATCACTCACACCTACAATTCAAACACCATCTAAACACATCTCTGTTTCTTCCTTAGCTACTGCCCAAAATATTCCCCAAACCTCTCCCACACCTACGGCTCAAAAACCACTTAACGCCATGCCATTACCTTCCAAAACTACTGCCCAAATTTCCCCCAATATCACCTCAACACCCATGCCCCAATACTCCTCAATAACCAACGCCTCTTTGTCTCTAACCCCTGCCCAAACGAACCCCAAAACCCTCCCAATACCCCTACCTCCAAACTCTTCCAAAAACATGCCCATCATCCCTCCACAAACTGCCCTAACCATCCCCACGTCTACCTTTACACCCCCACTTGAAAAATCATCTAAAACCATGCCTTTACCCCTCCTAACCACTACCCATCATACCCCCAACTCCGGTCCAACGCCCCCACCCCAATCCGTTCCCAAAGTCGTGTCTTTAAGCCTACCACAAACCCCCAAGAGTACCCTTGAAGAGTCATCTTTCTTCATGGTTCCAACCCCCACCTTTGCTCCCCAATTTTCTAAGTCCGAACTACCTTCCTCTCAAACTACCGAAACCATGCAGCCCACTACCCCAAAGATTATTTGGGATGAATATGATGACGAGGACTATAATCCCATTTGGGATGAAGAACTTGTCAAAGAGAATGAAGAAGTGTTTGAAGACGCAGAGGATAACCCGTTTTGGGTTACAGAGATGAAAGAAGAAGAGCAAGACGAGAAGACCCACGA